ATTTTTCGACCTGACATCTATATACATAAGTACACACGTACACACAAGAATTTTTATGTTAACGAGTGACTTATATAATGCTGTAGAATATATATATATATATATATATATTTAATTCAAATTAAATCTTTTTTTCTGTATTTAAGTTTGTCAATTTATCTTATTGCTAAACACATTTTGGTTTTCTTTGATCACTGATTATACTATTTATATAGTTCAGTTATTAAGTAATAAAACTAACTATTCGCGTAGGCTTGAGACACGTTGCTATACGTGGAGTGTCAGATTCCGGATGGTTCCTTGATAGAGCGCCTTACTCTCCAAACGGCTTGTCGCCGATCGATGCGATACAAAAAGGGATGGAACTGTGGAACTCTCGGATGCCTCGTAATTGCGTAATTAGATATCCTAACGAGCCATGGAAATGCTTTTTTGGATATCGTCTTTATCCAACTTTGTCTGGTGAGTTTATCTCACATCATAAATATTTTAATAGTATCTAAATAGTAATGTTTCGAAAAACGAGCTTAAACTCTATTATTTAACATCTTAGCACCGTTGTTTGTCTTCCAATGGATATTTGATGAGGCCCAAATGAAAGCTTACAACGTAGCTGCACCGGTGACAAGACAGCAATGGGATTACATACATAAAATGGGTGACAGTCTGCGGCAGACATTTGAAAATGTTACTGCGGTCTTTGCTCCGAGTTGCATTAGTCACAGCGTCTTGACGAAAAGAGATTGGAAGATGATCAAAATAGATGAGGTTTCCTTTGCACAGGCATTGTTTTGTTGGGATCAAATGCCGATCGGAAATTATCGTAACAACCAACACAACAAGTAAGTATGAATGGAATTCGTTGTGACACGGTCGCCGGCTGAAAATATATTCAACGATATCGCGTTGTTTACTTGCGAAAATATTTGTCGAAGTGCAGTTTCTTTGGAATCATCTTGGTAAATAAATCAATGAAGATCGAGATCAATGACGATCGAGACCTCGAAGAGAGATAATGTTTTTCGTTCTGCTACAGTACTCACTCGCAAATCGAGACCAATCAACCGTGCGGGAAGTCGCTGAAAAAGCTATTGCGTTCTGGTATCAGAAAGGGAAATGGTACCTCGATCGAAGGTGGAAAAAGCAGAGTTGGATCCTCTACGGAAACGCAAAAAGCTCGATTGTCTACCATTGGCAAAATGCAGGAAAGAAAGCCAGTCTCCGGCTCGGTTCAAGAGCGGGAAAATAAGAAGAGACGAAAGAGGAAACATAAAAGCAGAAGGAGAGAGAGGAAGGAAAGAGACAGAAGTAAAGAAGAGAGATTGAAGAAAGAGAAACACCAGCGAAGAAAGAACACTGGTACAGTTTAGCAATGCGCAAACATGTTTTGAACTTTGCTCAATAACAATCGACATTCTTTGAATAGTTTCAAGTTATTTCGTGCAGTTCTATTATAGATTGATCGAAAACTTACTTGGTACTGCGTATGATTTTACGATAATATCAAATTTTATATTTGTTATTAATAATTAAAAAAGAAATTTTTTTATGCGGTTTGCACAATAACTTTTTGAAATTCATTATATATATATATACAATATATGTACATCTTTTTGCAGGTCGTCGCAAAGGCGGTAAACAAGTAAATGGCAATAATCATACGGCTATATTTAACGGCATCAGGCCGCAACGATCGGTAATACCGTCTTTTAAACGGAAGTGTGTTAAGAACTGTCATTTCCGTATGATCGAGCGCTGCACTTGGCCACAATGTAACCATAGCTGCCCCAAGCTGCATAATCCCTTTACGGGCGAGGAAATGGACTTTATTGAATTGCTCAAGAGCTTCGGTCTAGACATGAAAAGTGTCGCGAATGCCCTCGGCATCGATATACATACGTTGAATAGTATGGATCACAATGAGTTGCTGAATCTTCTGACACAACGCGCGAATTAGCAAGACAATCTGTCGTAACAATAATGCAGAGTCTTTTTGCTTGCTTTACCAATCTTTCCGTTGGCACGACTAGAGCTCAGTATTTACGTACAATTTAAATATCATGTTTCAAGTAATGTGGAATGGTTCGTATCAGGTGTCTCACTGGTACTAATGTTACAGTACTTAAATTAGAGAAGATATATTGCTGGTAGAAATTAAAAGTATAATGAAAAAGTCTATCAAAATATTAAAAGTATAGATATCTATACTTCTTTAATAAAATAAATTTTAAATGTTTTTCCGTAGTACAAATAATTATACCAATAATGTAAATTTAAATAATTATATATACATATAAAATGCATAATTATATAATGTTATACAATATAATACATATATGTATAATAATATTAATATAATAATAGTGTAATAATACAAACATTATTATATTTAATATATATTAATATTAAATAATATATAATTATGTAAAGATATGTATATGTACAACATAACAGCATACTAAGTCAAGTTTAAAAGAAAAATATTATTTTTAATTTGATAAAATATCTTTGCATATATCTTTGATTTGTATATCTCTGCATATCATTGACTGCCAATCGATTAAGTCGATAAATTATTAGCTTCGCTCACATAACGTAAAATGTATAATTTTCTTTTCGTTCAACAGCAATAATTTAACATACGAAATGCTTAAATAGAGACGCGTTACGCGTTATTATTAAAATCTAACGCGTTTAACCAAAACAGATGTACATAATTTCATAGAGATGCCTCTTATGGTGCGTTTGCAGGACTCGCTTCGCTGAAAAGACGAGAAAGCCGAGAGAATGGAAATTTCGATTGGCATTTTCGCCGATGGACAGGGGAAAACAAGAGTTCTGGCGTGTAGAAAGTGTATATTTCATTGTAATTGTACGAATTATCTTAATTTATTATAATTTATAGGTAAAATAATCGATCATGTAAGTATGTTTTACGAATTAATTCGTATGTTCATGGCACAGAGCTTATCGTTAAAATCAGAAATCAGGCGAAAAGAAATCTCCCTAACTTTATCTGTTCAAATACGATTCTTTTCATTTCGGTCGTCTCTTGATTGTTTTTTGTTGAAAGATCCTTTTTAAACAGATATCTCGTGTTCGTTATATAGATCAATTACAAATTTAGATTGTCATATCATTTAGATCGGAATCAGCGCAATTCAGTTAAATACAGAAAGACTGTAAGGATCTTCCAATGGCAAATAGGACTGATTCTTTTGTGTAACGTCGGAACGGAAATTTATCAACAAACAATTGACCGACCGACAAAGCAGCTTCATAGACTGATTAAATTATCTACCTCAACGAATCAAATCGTATTAATGTCCTTCATGTACTATAATTGTCAACTTAGAACATCACAATAAGAACAGTGTTACTGTAAGTTAATATGCGTAAAATATATATTGTACCTATGTCTTCAATCATGTAATATAAACCTCTGCCAGGGTAATAATGTTATTTATTTAATGTAGTATTTAGTATCCGATGATTGCAGCGACATGTATTTTTTTGTCGTAAAACACATATACATGATATATTGATGATATCAATGAAAAATATTATAACTACGAAGTTATACTTTTCTAAAATTATTTCTTTTCTACCTAATCTAATCATTTCTTTCTTGAAAAAAAAAAATTTTTTATTTATATCTATTACAAGAAAAATAAAATATTAAATACAGAACTATACATTGAAGGATCGAAAACATAATATCTACTTTTCTTCAATAAAGACGATTTAATTTATAACCGTACTCACGGCACAACTTTGTCGCGTTTTCCAAGGATGTTAAAGTGCGCAAAGTTTTATCTTCAGGACGCTAAAAAAATCTCAAAAATCTCAATAATCGTTAATTAATTATTCAATTAAAGTGCTGATAAAATCATAACTGCCCAAACTAATGTTTAAAAATATGATTACTTTTCATTGATGTCATTGATATACTAATGTTAAAAATTTTTCGAGATATTATTTATTATTGTTTTTTTTCAAATTGTGACCCCGTCTATGCGAATGCGATCCGAATAATCGAGATTTCATGGTTCAAAGCTTTTACTTACATCCACTCTATATAATACTATAACACCTGATGTTATCTTTTAAAAGAGCATGACATTGTAAATAAATTGTATATCTGTTCTATTGAGATCTTGATATATTATTTATTCATATTCCTCATTTGAATCCTCCACCACAATAATAATAAAACAATTATCTTTAAAAATGTGTTAAAAAGGAGATCTTGTAAAGATTTTTTCTTAAAAAATTAATCGAGTAAGTTCGACAAACAGCATGTATAAAAAAAGAAAACACACATACACACAGTGTTTTGACCAAATATATTAGCCATCTTATTAACCACTATTTAACATTTTAACTTAAAAATAGATTTATGGCATTTGCTGTAAATTGTTCTTTCAAGAACCCTTTAAATTTATGTACAACATAATATTGGTAACCAGTAGATAACAATGCAGGTAAAAGAATTCCTGATAAATAAAAAAATATAGATGTCTAATATTTTTGGTCAAGGCTATATGTTGCACTATATACTACAACGTGAAGCTAAAATACAAATGTGATTTGCAACATACTCGCGATCGCGACCTATCCCAATAAAATGTAGTTCTACCCAGTCCTACCATAAAATACCCTAAAATGTCATCGGTAAATCGCGATCTGTAGCCTCGATCTATATGTAACGATTAATCTGTTTGCTCTCACGACGCGTACCCTCCTGACATGCAGTGTCCCCTGTGCACGATGCACGAGGGTGATAATTCAATGTAGAATCCGTTCTCCCAACCTCCACCGATCGGTCGGTTGGATTCGCATCCATTGCCAGCTCTCCCTCGAAACTATATATTCCGCGACGGCGTATGCAGGAAATGGTATTTAACAGGCCAGGCCGGGTCTGACCCCGAGTGTACGCACGTAGCCGATAGTCAATGTGATGGAGAGGCGGACGTATAGAGAAGAGAGAAGGAAAATGAATGAGTACTGGTCCCTCCTCATGTCCAATTGACGCGTCCGAGGAAGTGACGGAAGGATGGAAGCGCAATGTACTTGAATGTCCCATAAGCGGGTTCTACATTAGACTACTCCTGTTACCGGTAGTAGTTCGTTCGACTGCCTATCGTTCAGTCGTCGGGTTGTCAGCCGAAGATCACTGCGCTATTAGCAGTGGCCCATCTGAATTCGTTTTTCATACGATTTCCATTCTGTGTGTTCCGAAGTTTCTCGATGTGACGATAATGTTTGACCTGATCGAGAAATTCTCTTACTCGTGACAGAAGTAAGACAATCGAAAGAACCGTCGTTACCGAGTGCGGAGGGTCATATTTTTAAAACTGCACGCGTTCATAGACCAAGGCGAATCAGATCAATATTCGTTCATTGATAAAAAAGTATAAATTAAAAAAAAAAAAATTATGTTATTAAGTTTTGTAAATTCTTAATTTTTATAACTTTTAGTTTCATGTAATAAAATAATACATAAACAGTACTTTTTGTTACTCAACAAAACATTAAGAAAAGAGAATTATCCAATTCGCTCCGAAAATCAGAGGCGAATTATCAGTTTATTAAATTCATTTAGTAAACTATTCACTGAAAAAATTATTATAATTTGCACAAGTTTCAATATATCTTTTCGTTAGAAAAGTCCATTTGTGATTTTCTCGGGATCATAATTTTATATGAGAGATAAAATTTTTCTCGTGCACTCACGATCTCTGCATTTGTATCATCGACTGATTCTGGATCAGATAATACACAACTGTTGTTTATTGTTTCTGCAGAAGAAGAGCAAGTACATGAAAGTAATATAAGATAAGACGGATAAAACAGTTCGTTTGGAACAAAATTCACGATACTATCTCAAAACTTATATTGATCCGATTTGTACGCCACAATTTACCCTATAAAATCATTTTTCACTCGCAAAAAGAACGGAATGAATTTTCAAAACATAATGATGTTATAAATAAACCAGTGTGACAATGAATTCCATTGCTGTTTGAACTTTCGTCAAAAATACAAAAATAAAACTCGATATATTCGCCTACGAAAGTTTTTTCTATATCTTCTGTTTTCCTTATAATCCTTCATGCAACTTTTTTACTCTGGAAAATATTCTTGACAACACTTTCCAAAAGAAAATTTATTTATCATTATTTAATAAAAATTTATAGCGGCAACATTGTTGTGTGAACAAGTTGTGATTTTCAGAGAACTTTGAATTCTTTGAAGACTTGTAACCGTTATGCTCGAAGAAATCAGAAACTGTTTGATCAAAACACAAGTGCATAATATTTGCTGACATCGGAAGATCGGAGATCGTAAACAAAGAATTTTTATCGAAATCTCATTATTTCAATCATGTTGAAAGGAATTGTTCTGCTGATTCTCCATGTCTTCTGTGACATTGGTGAGACTAAATTAACTATCACATTTTATTACACGGTTCTTGCACAATGTTTATTACTTTAAAAATTTTTCTCAAAATTGTGACGTAATAGTTAAATTTGAAAGATTTTGTGTTTAGCATCTATAAAAACTATAAGAAACGATAAATTTGATTCAGGCATCGATCCAATAATATAAATTCACAGACTAGTGTTATTTTTTTAGCTCTTTTATAAAAATTGGAGATAAAATTTGCTCCTCTCCGTCTTATATTTCTCAATCTATTTTCCTAATTTCGCTTTCAGCATTGGCAGGACAGTGCGGAAAAGTATGGGTCACGGTTTCCTCTTTATGGAGACCAATCGCCGCCAGCGATAAGGTGGTCGATGCCGAATTAGAAATAAATTGGGAATTCGATTGTCCAGCGGATACAAGATACTCAGATACCCAAATCAAGATGTTCAATGCTGACCCGTTAGCGGCACATAGTAATAAATTTTGTTTAATTCTCTTATGTATCGTATTTCGCTCCCAAAGGTAGTGGTTTATAGAATCGAAAAATGCGTTCCTTTCATTTTATAATATTTATAAATTAACTACTGTACTAAATATTATATTAAAAGTACAATGTTTATCATTAGACTTTATTACAAAGTACAAGACATATATGTGACATGACAATGAGTTGTAATCATTGCATTATGAACTTGTTTTATTCAAAATTCTTATTTAATTTTATGTGAGTAATTTTATTAACAAATAGTTAAATAAAAAAATCCTATCTTCGATCAACACACATTTCAATTCTTATAAAATGTTATTAGTATCAATTATTAAAGTATTTGTCAATTTAATATTACTCTAGTTGTGTTTATGATTGCATTATAACAGTAAAAAATTTTGGTTCGAAGAACTGAATATGTAGATAAAATCATACTGAAATGTTTAAGCCCCAAAATCCGCTTTGATCGAAAACAGAATTTCTCTTTACTCAATTAGGTTTGTTTCCATCGGTCCTATTTTATATTAAAATTTATCAACAAAGTCTAAAATATAAAAGTTTGTTTTGCTTTCGTATTTCATTGATAGTTTAGTACAGATCACCAGCTTAAGCGCGTTGAAACGCTTTGAGTTCGTCGTTAAAACTTGTTGGCTAAGTCTCTCTTCCGCCTATCGCATTCAATTTGAAAACATTGATCCGCTCGAAATGAATCCCTCGATAGTTTTGAATCGTTCCCAATCCGATTTATCTTACAGAATGAATCGTCGTGAAATCGAACGCATCCATCCCTTATCACATTTTCTCACCGTAAAGCTATTGAACTTTAGATACCAAAAAAATTTGTCCACGCAACCACGAATCATGTTTGTTTCAGACAAAATGATCAAGCCTGAACTGATTCTGACATCCTTACAACGTCCTCGGGGATATTACAGAACAAATATTACAGTCGGTCGTCCGCCGTTACCAGGAGGATGGGACACGAAGGATGGAGCGACTCTCCCAGGATCACATTGTCTCAATTATTATGCTATCCTTTACAAAGATGGTCACATGTTTTCTATGTCTTGCTTGCAAATCTGGCCGACTTGGATGTACGATTTAAGGTACTATAATTTTATACATATTTTCAAAGTTTAAATTTGACACTATCGTTTCAAAAAACTCACAAATTTTTTATATAATTTATTTTTGAAATAACTTAAATAATACACGAAAACGTTGTTTAAAACATTTATGCAGGTAGAATAAATTAAATAATAACAATTGATATATCGTTATACAAAACGTAATTAAAGTAATTACTTTTAGATAATGTATCTTTAATTAGATAACTGTAATTAAATTACAGTTTGTTACTGATAAGATAAGGTATAATATACTTGCGATAAGATACAATATACTTGCAGTAATTATTTACTATTACTATAAATTTGATGAGCTGTAATAATTACACGTACTTCTTTGTAGAAATTGACAGCTATTGACACACAAATAATGTTTCTCTGTATTGTTAAAGGAGGGAAATCGGTATGCTTCCTATCGGTAGTCTGATGATACCTGGGACACATAATTCTGGTTGTTACAAACACGGTGATCTAACGCGTCGGGACGCCTTTCAGCGATACTTGTTGACACAAGATCGTGATGTTTGGACCCAGTTAGTGCATGGCATAAGATATCTAGATATCAGAGTTGGATATTACCCATCGATACCAAATGGCACCGCACTTGACGAGGACGGGAATCATATTAATAGATTTTGGATCAACCATGACGTCATCCGCATCACACCTCTTTCAGAAATTTTAAAGGATGTGAGAAACTTTCTGGATGTAGCGAGGGGTGAAGTTATCATTATGGACTTTCATAGGTGAGTAAAATCTAATGCACAATTAAAAAACAATGGCAGTAGGAATAATGAATAGTACATTTCAACCTATAAAAAACCGTATACCAGATTGTTGATAGGTTAAAATCTGTTATTTTCTATACTGCCTGTTCTTTTTAATTATACTTCAAGTTTAACACAAAATATAGCTGTTTAACAACATTGTACAGTTTAAATTCACGCGCGAGAGCATGCGTACATTGTAAATTGAATTTGTGTTAATGGTCGTAAAATTCAAATAAATGGTTATTTAAAAAATTGCGAGAGAATTACGAAAACTAAAATATGTACAGAATGTTTATTTTGATTAAAACACTAAAACAAAACGCCTATATTTATAAAAAAGGTTTGAGATAAAAGTTGCATAGCCAGAAGAGGAACAAATAAATCAAAATTTTCAAAAAATCGTTTTTTTTTAAGGTCATATAAAAATAATTTTTAATACAATTATATAATAATGATAATCAATCCTATTTTGAAATATGACAATGACTCATGCTGTATATGATCTTGAAAAATCTATTTCTTTTTATTAATTTTATTATTTGTTTTCTTTCAGACGCAAATTTTATTCTAAGATTTTTTTGTAAATGTAGCCATTTTTATATTATTTTAATGCATAATTAAAATAGAATATCCTGTATAAAATAATTAATGGCGAATTCGATTGGGATGCACCAGTGCAGGGTGATTGCACCAGTTCATCTTTTTTCCCTTTCCCTTCTCCTGAAGAGAAAAGGAAAACAAATGAACTCAGGTGCACTCAGTGCGCACTAGTGCGCACTAGTGCATCCAATCGAATTCGCCACAAGTTATTAATAGTGCCATAATTTTGATTAACTTTTATCAATTATATTTATTATTAATGTATTATGAAAATAAAAAACGTTTCTCTGGTTTTTTTTACTTTTTATGCTTTTATTTTATACTTTTTATTTTTTGTATGCTATATCTATGAGCTATATTTACGGCAAAAACGTTGTAAATAATTATATTTCACAAAATACTCAAAATTTGTAATAATTAATGTAAAAATTAACAAACAGATTTCCCGTGGGCTTCGAAGGTAGGCCGAACAGACATCGGAAATTGCTATCTATTTTACATCGAGAATTCGAAGGTTTAATCCTGAAACCAGAGAGAGGGATCGAAGGTCTGGGACCGACGTTAAATGATATTTGGGCCGGCGGAAAGAGATTAATCATTTGTTATGGTGACAAACACACAGTAAACGGTAAAATATTTAAATTATAATTTATATTAATTTACGATTTATATAAATTTAATTCATTCAAATTCTTTAAAACTGTTCAACTAATAACGTTTAACAATTTCCGTTTAATCCTTTTTAATTTAGAATACGACTGGCTGTGGCCGCCCTTGACACAAGTATGGGGCAATCAACAAACTGTGGAAGGTTTGTTCGAATATTTGGATGAAGAGATTTTAGGATCAAAGAAACGCAGAAATAGTCAGAACCCATTGTGGGCAGTAATGGCGGAATTGACGCCATTTCCATTAGATATTTTCTTTAATCTGTCTGGCGGGCTTCGGCAGATGGCTGATTCCGTTAATCGAAATCTCACTGTCAAGTTTCAAGAGGAATGGTGGAAAGAAACGAATATTGTCGCCACAGACTTTTTTCTCGGAAACGATTTGATCTGGGTATCGAGAATGTCAAATATTAAAAAAAGTAATATCGCGCAATGGCGTTTGTAGCTAATATATAGAATTTTACTGATAATACTGATAATAAAATTTCTTGTTTCAAAAATGGAAAAAATATTATTGCAAGGCGAAACGATAACTCTCATCAAACTTTTATAAATCTTAACAAAGATGAAATAGTACACTTTAATACGAATTGATATGTGTGTATAAAATTATTTAGTTGCATGAATTTCACAAAAAATGTAAAATACTAATTTATCTTTATTGTACAATATTATTGCAATAAAACTCTGCGTAAGCAATAATAATACAATCTATTTAAACAATTTTAATTTGTGCGTTATTGGCAGATTGTAACGATAAATGTTAACGGTTTCATAAACACTAATATTATAAGCCTGTATATCGATTTTACAAATAAATGTTTTAAAATGTACCTATTCAAATTTATTTGAGTAATAAATATGTGTACATTTTTTAATTTGTGAGAAAACTTTCTGTTCCATAGAATCAAGTATAAATAAAATTATTGCAACACAAAATTATGACGTTCACGATTAATGAAACATAAACGTTTTTTCTAATAAAAAATTATCGATTCTTATAGGTATCTATGTATCGTGAGATCTAAATCTCTTTGATTATATCAAAAATGTGTCTTAGAAAGAAATTGTTTAATGAAAGAAATTATTTCAAAATCTTACAATTAGATTGGAACTTTTGTTCAAGACTGTAGGCTTTCAAGATTTCAGATTTTTTTTATCAAGTAAAGCTATCTATTTCGATATAATATTGCAGCTGATAGGAAATTATATCTTACGATCAATCTATGTACTTAATTTAAAGCAGTGCTTGTCTTGCAACGCAAATGCTCGCGTTTAAACCTTCCCGCTCGACTACCTACGTATCAGATTACCTATCACCATTTCATGCATTTGACTTGCTAATAGCCTTCACGAATTCAGACAAGACTACATAGTCAGTAACGCGTCGGCTTTCCTCGTGGACGCCGAGTGAACGTTGAGCAGATAAGAACGATAAGGTCGCGTTGGAGACATGTTAACGAACGCGACTGCAGACGAGACGAAAGAGCTATGGTGGTCTATATATGCTTGGTGGTCATGCGTGCTTGTGCTAAAGATGATGTTGCTGACGTGGTACACCGGACAGATTCGAGTGAGAGAACAGGTAAAATTTTCGAAGTCTTTTGTATCTTTTTATAGGTAAACTTACTTATCTGTCTGCCTTTCACGTTAAACGTTGTAAAAAGATGATTAACTCTCTTATTAATTACATTGTAATTAATATTTCGCATGTAAATAATTTTTATATAAGAACAACTCAGGTTGTAATATATTCTTTCAATTTTTATGTTGTAGTAAAAAAAACAGTAGTTAATATTAATTTTTTAAATATCTCATTGTATATGTATTATACATAAAGAAACGTTGATGTGAATTAGAGCATTATCATGATACACAAACAAAATAATTTGTAAAAATTTATAAGAAATATGTCACACAGAGCTGTTTTATAAATATTAATGGTTGAGATTTAACTGATCTCTTCTACTTCTTTTTACGAATAAATATAGAAAAAAACGAATCATATTAAAACCTTAGTTAATATTGAATAATATTTTGTGGGGAATATAAGATAATAACGATTAAATCTTCATAATTATAACAGTAAAACCAGTAATGCATGTAGGCAATAAATCGACTCACCAGTTGATGTCTGTCTTCATCCACTGCCGCTACGTGTCATCTCAGCGCACTTGTTATCTAAACAAACACACACGTGCTATTTTTTATTCAAGTAAATGCAAAATCAAAGCTTCTTTATTAAAATAAATCTTTATACAGTCAGTATTCATAGAATTCTTATTTCAAATAAATCGTTTTAAATGATGTCTTCAAATATTATAGTTATGATTTCGTAATCTTTAAGATTACACTTAATTCTTTAAATACAAGAAATATAAATACTGGTTTTAATAAATTTTAAGTTAAGAATTTTGTTATGTAAATATCATATAAAAAGTTAAATTATTAATGCATTAAAAATATATATACAAATAATTATTAAATTAATGTATTAAAATCAAATATAATATGATATTAAATTTATAAAATGTGAATAAATTGGCATAAATTTATCATTTATATAATTTCTGGTTAATTATCTACATATATATATTTGCACAGATTAATTTACCGTACTAAATCTATTGTTTTATAATATCAATAAAATATATATAGAAAATAATAAAGCACACGTGCGCAACAGTATTAAGTACCAAATGTATTGTATAAGTATATATAAAATAAATATATTTAGTCATCATATAATTTTATTGCTTTGCTATTGCTTAATTAGTGTTTGTTTGACGATGTTTTCTATATAACTATACTGTGAGAAAATATTTTATTGCAATCATACTCATTAATTAACGTTTATTTTGATTCAGCACTCCCGGCATTTTATTTATGTTTATGTACGTTGGTGTTTTATTGTTTTATTTGTACGTGCGCTTTCCAATCATAAATGACGCGAAATTTATCGAGCGCATAATAATTGTTTTCGATGGAAAATACACGTTAGAATACTTGGGATAAATAATAATATTGGAGTACAAATATCAAAAATCAAAATCGCATGTATCGCATGTATAAAATCACATTATTTTGTAACATTATAACAGTCACGTGATATGGTTTGACACTTCTTTTCAGATTTGCAATCCAATGTTATGTGATTTGTAAACAACTATTAACTGACAGCTAATTACTATCATATATGTTGATTGTAAAAACTGTCCAACAATATACTTGGCATTTTCATTGTTCAATAATAAAAAGTATAAAAGATAATTTTTATTTCATATTACGATAATATAATTTTTCCTAAAAAAAATTTAAGAAATCTTATCTTAAATAAAAATTGGATTTATATATGTATATATACATATATATATGTACTTGATAATAAAAAAAAATCACACAAAATTATATTCTTATATATTTCCTTTCAGAATTAAATAATGACAGTTGAATAAATGAAATTTACATAAAATTTGAAACAATAAAATATGAAAACAGAAACGTTTACCAATTTAAATAAATTTGTAAATTGATTTTTGCGTTATTAAAAATATATCTTTTAGCATTGGATTAAATTAGAATGATATATTTTTGTCAATGGAGATAGTTAATAAATTTTTTAATTTTAAATGTGTATAATTTTTGTTCCCGCAAGTATATGTATATAGAATAACTAGACAATTTCTTTAAATTTTAATTAATAAGCAAAAGAGAATAAATAAAAAACATGTTTTTACAAACATCATATTACTATTTATTTACTTTTATAAAAAGAATTATATTATTAAACAAAAAACATTGTTTAATTTATTTAAATTAGATTTAAATCAATAATGTGATGAACTGTAATTTATCGAGAGATGCGGTTAATTATTGTGTAAATTGCAATTTACATTTTAAGATAATCGCGATAAGATAATAACGATCATATCTTGAATAGTTATTTGTACGTAATATTTTTGTTTAAATGTAAAATATACGAAAAATACGAAGTGAAATATACGAATAAAGAATGTGCTGATTACCATTCATGTAATATGATCGAAAACCACATAAGGTCAAGTGTTATCAAATATCAGCATAATTCAAGTTTGTAGAATGTGCTCTATGTTAACTTTTCTTATTTATTTGAAAATTAAAATTATTCAGAATTCAATTTTTAGTTATAAATATAACATTAAATACATTAATATTATCAAGTACTTAACAACAATACATCTGAGATTTCTATGCAACTTTTAATGATAAATATTATTATTTAATGATAAATATTATTATTTAATTCTGTAAAATTCTTTTGTGTATGTAACTCATATATTAAATAAAGAAGCGTAACAAAGCTAAGGAACCAAGCCAGTTGTGAGCGCTTACCAGTATGTTTACAAAAGTGAAAATAATAAAAATAAATTTGAGTTTGACATTTATTACAAAACGAAATGGGGCACACCTTGGGCTGATAGTTGGACTTGTATTGAAATCAGTGACAACTTCAAATTTAGATGGTGTACTGGACCCATATATATTATATCAATTACAAAACGGAACACATGAAAATCTAATACACACTGAGAAAAAAAAGTAGTAAACTCAACTAAATTAGCGGTCACGGGCTGTCAAGTAAATATTTTGGTAATTCAAAGATATATCCTGTCGAAATAAATAAGTCATTGTTCAATGTACTACTGCGTATTTGATTCAAATACATAATATTTCGACTAAACAAAATATTTGCTTGACAGCCCGTGACCGCCAATTTAGTTGAGTCTATAAAACCATAGTCTTTAATTGGAAAATTCTACTAGATAAACACATATCTAAAAAATATTGTAAATTTAATAAAACAATATGTAGATTTAATTATAAACAATTTATGGATAACTGTTCAATATAAATACAAAAAACAATATTTGACATTATTTCATGAGAGTGTTTATAAATTATTATTATTATAAAAGTTTTAAGTGCAAACTTCCCTGTAACATAAACTTTCCTTGTGAAATAATCAATCATGATTAAAATGTAATTAAAAGAAAATTTGATTTGATATAAAACAAATTTATAATTTTCCTTCAAAATTTGTAAATATTACAGCAAAATTCTGTAAAGTTTCAATAAGCTTTTGAAACATCGTTCCGATACAATTCGGAATCTGTACATCCAGATTGGAATGTAAATTAAATCGATTTGGGAAAATATGTAATTAAATTTTGTTACGATCTCGAAATATACCTTTTCGTCAAATGCGATATTTTATAATATACATGTAACATATACAATAAAACGTAAAAAAATAAGAGAGAGAGAAAGAGAGAGAGAGAGAGAGAGAGAGAGAGAGAGAGAGAGAGAGAGAGAGAGAGAGATTTGTATGATATAAAAGCTTTCAAGGGCGCGCGGTCAATTAAATCTTTTTCTTTCGTAATAGAATTCTAAATAAAATAACAAAAAAGACATTTGTTTTAAATAAATTTTTACTAGTTCCTTCAAGTTTGTCTTTTTTTAATGTAAATGTGCCAAACCTTTTATTGTTTCATGATATCAATAAATAAAATATAGAGAAGAAATAACATAAGGTGTAGCAA